GAGATCTTGGTGGCCATGGTAACAATGTGACATCATTATGTTGAAAGAAGTCTATTGTGACTCCTGCAACATGTGGTCGGGCATTATCTTGTTGGAAAGTTGGATCTGCCAGGGTGTCAAGATAGGGTAAAAGATGGGGTTCTAGAACTTCGTGGATATAACGCTGCGCGTTCATGTTACCTCTGATGAAGATTAAAGGTGACCTGGAACCATAAGCTATAGCACCCCAAACCATAACTCCAACAGTGTGATGAACATGTCTTTCAACAAAAAACTGTGGATTCCTCTTTTCACCACGTCACCTTCTAACCCTGGCACGACCATCGTGCATGCCTAAATAAAATCGAGACTCGCCACTAAAGACAATACTGTTCCATTCCTGATCCCAGAGTGACCGTTGTCTGCACAACTCAAGGCGATTACGTCGGTGTTCTCGAGTTAAAGGGAGGACCCAGTGTGGCCGATATGAAAACAAGCCAAAACTTCTCATTCGTCGGTAAACACTTCGCATGCCAATAGGTCTTCCGTGTTCTGCAAACCATTCATTTGCAATGGACCTGGTAGTGGAGAAACGGTCCCTTAAGGCCAATAATCTTAGGCGGCGATCTTCACGGTCTGTTGTTCTACGGCGGCGTCCAGTGCCCCTTGCTCTTTGCGTACGGCCTTCTTGAAGCCATGCCCGACAACACCTAACCACAGTGTCTACACTTCTTTGCACTCTAACTGCAATTGCCCGAAAAGAAAGGTCAGCTTCCCGAAGTCCCACTATACGGCCGCTATCAAACTCACTAAGTTGACGAAATCGTACAGGTCTCCGTACTCTAGGCATCGTAACCGATCATAAAGGATGTCATGAACCAAATTCCGCCAACGTTGATTCTTTACTGCGGTTGAAATATTCATTTTTAGAGCGTTATTGAATTAAAAAAAAAGTAGTATAAAAACCGGAATGTCCAACTGATAAGGCTGAAAATTTTTTCACTTGTTATTTACAGTAAGATAAATACATTCACCAACTTTTATTAAAATAAAACCATTTAAACTGGGAGTTCGGATTTATATGTCACTTAGTATATAAGCAATAGGCATCTTTGTCTGTTGATAACCTTAGACATGATCCGCATAGTAACCAGCGCCATCTACTTCTTGCTTTCACAATTACGTCCATTATCAACCATACACTATAGTTGTTGGATCTGGAATTCGGAAGTTTTAGTTTATACAGCACTTCAAACATCCTACTTATTACTTCCTACGACAAAACTAGCGAATAAGTATAGAAATCGACGAAAAATATCGAAATGGAGACATTATGTTTTTTGGATGTTGTATGATATGTGTGATGCAGATATCTTTAAGCAACAGATAACTTATGAACTGAAATTCGAATATTATCGAGTTTAATACTTCCATCGTAGATTTTGAAAATATATTCGGAGACGGAGGAAATAAGATCGCTGAAACATAGTGTTACAACGTTTCAGAGATTCGTGTTCATTTTCAGACATTGTTTGGAGGGGACGAAATTTGTACTTTGGAAGCTATATGAGGTAAATGGGTGTAAATTATTGGATATTTGGTGTCATTGAGAGACCTGCTATCATTATTTTATTGCTCATCTCAGAGATACTATGCACCTATTAGACATAATAAATCACACACATTTTCCACATGGAAACAGAAATACATGATAGATTTGCCCATAAGTCCTTTGAGCTGGAAAAAAAGGAATAAAACCAAACTAGTTAAATTATGAGGAATTATTATATTTTGTTATCATCTTTATTGAATGGGAATTATGTTTTAAAAATCACATCGTCTAAATGCAATCCATTACGATCACGGCACTCATATAAGCGACGTCTAAAATTGTCGATGACTGCGCGGCAAGTCAACACTGTAATGCTTGCCATTTCTCTTCGGATATTTTCTTTCAGGACATCAACTGATCGCGGAGTGGTGTCGTACACTTTACTCTGGAGGTAGCCCCATAAAAAGAAGTCCATTGGGGACAAACCTGGACTACGTGGTGGCCAGGAAATGTCTCCTCTTCGAGAAATTACTTTGCTGGGAAAAAGTTGACAGACGACGGGCATAGAAGTGTTGGAGGTGTGGGCAGTTGCTCCGTCCTGTTGAAACCAGGTCTGCGTATTATAGCCTGGAAAATTATGCCACGCTGGTGTCAAAAACTCTTCTATCATTGCTACATACCGCTCCGAAGTAACAATTAATGCGCGACCTCTGTCGTCCCCAAAAAAATAAGGGCCTACGATGCCATGCGCTGACATAGCAGCCCAAACTGTAACTTTAGGGCTGTTTAAGGGCTTCTGATGCTTACGCCTTGGATTTTCGGGGCTCCTATAACGGCAATTTTGTTTATTTACATGCCCGTTTAAATGGAAGTGAGCCTCGTCCGAGAACAACACATTATTGAGCGAAGAAAATCGATTCAACATTTCATTCGCAAAGTTTAGTCTCTGAATAGCGTCATTATCTTTTAATTCCTGCACTAACTGAATTTTGTAAGCGTGCAGACGTAAATCTTTCCTTAAAATCCGCTGTAAAGATGTTCTGGGTATGTTTAGTGCACTGGAACGCTTACGAGTAGACTGGGTAGGATTTTGACGAACAGACTGTGCCACAATGTTGATGTTTTCTTCAATACGAGTGGTCCTTGGTCGACCCCACCGCTGTTTATCTAACGTCGAACCAGTCTCTTCGAACTTAGCAACCCAGTTCTTAATCGTTTGAGCTGTTGGACACTTTGTAAAATTGTGTAAATTGTGGTATTCTCGATATATACGCCGCGCAATGGTTGCCGAATCATTATTTTGATAAAACGCGCGCACACAAAAAGCACGATCCGCTCCAGTGAAACACTCCATGGCGACTGAATTCCCAGACACTGAAGATACTGCCCCCACCTCGCCCGCGCCGCTCACGCTCACCCGTTAAATTTTATTCAAATTTGAAATTTCGAAGGACTTATGGACCACCCTGTACTTTGATATGCAGAGGTCGAAGGTTCATCAAAATACGATCGGTGTCGTCATTTGAATCGATTTGACTCGTTCCTTTTCTTCGAAACCTTCAATGAAAGCCTAGGAAGTATAGAGTCTATCTACTTGACGCCATTCTTTAATACCATGGTATTGCAAGCTGAAATTCGGAATGATGCATGAAAGCTATAATTAACATAAAGTGGCAGTTCAAAATTTAAAGCGGCCAGCCGCCTTCTTTGTTTCAAAGGAATGGGGGTTACGTAATGCTTGATTTTAAAGCTCGTTCAGGAGTTCTTTACCACCTTACCATATTAAATGAAAATATTGGCCTACTGATTCGGTACCACACACGCCCGAGGCTTCCTTGCACCCAAACAAGGTTTTGTTGAGTGGTTGGTGGACAGCAACTGGAATTGTCCATTATGAGTTTTTGGAAAGGGGTCAAACCAGCACTGCTAACTTATATTGTGAGCAGCTTCAACGAGTACAAGCAGCACTTATCCAGAAACAGCCTTCTTTGATCTATCGGAAGAAAGTGATATTCTTGCAGGATAACGCCAAGCCTCATACCGCAAAAGTGACCCTAGAAAAAATGTCTGAACTCGGCTGGGAAACGTTACCTGCACCCGCCATATTATCCCGACATTTCGCCCACTGATTATCACATTTTTTTGTCTCTTGAAAACTGTATTAGGCACCGACAGTTGTAACGGTTTCACCGTCCGATTGTATTTATTAAATCACTTCTCGATTATCATTTCAGAATCGCAAATCATTAATCCCATCTCTAGCTTTTTTACTTGGAAAATTTTCCGCTTGGAGCGCTTGATGCGGAGTTCCTGATCTGCGATCTTCCTCGCGTTTCCTTTTCACTTGAGCCGCCGATCTAGCAAGAGCTAAGAATTTTGTTCTCTGTAGCATGAGGTCGTATAGCACCATGTGCTAGAATTTTGTAGAATGTGTGTCCGAATAGGACAAAATGATTGGGGCCACCCCCTTTCTCTTTCCCTTTCCCTTTGCCTTTGTCTTTGACTTTGCTTTTGCCTTAGTCTTTGACTTTGCGTTGCTTAGCCTATCACTTCACCCATGCATGTGCCTTGGCAGCGCCATCGCCTTTAAGTTCAACTTCGCCTACAACTGGTTTTGAAGCCACTATATGTGAGGTCACCCCTCATAACTGGGACCTCCACTTCAAGCACCTGGCCATCCTCGCTTCAGTCCAGTCAAAATGGACCAGCGAAAGATAAGTTGATAGTTTTATAGCAGCGCCAAAGATTTAAAACTTATTTTGTTCTTTAAAACTTTAAAATTGTAATGTAATGAAAATGCTTTTTTTGTTAAATAAAATCTGTTAAATTTTTGTGTTCTGTTTGTTCTTCTATCCTCTAGCCATGCCATGGTCGACACACAGCTACACGCCTGAAGATGTCTTCATGCCACCGACTGAGCTACCGGAAGCTAATGGTAACCCCCTTTCTGTGATTGTGCAGAAAAGTTGGAATCTTCATTGCATTCCATCTTTTCTGGACTTTTTGCGGAAAGGAAGCGTTACACAGTTCACAACTCGAGATGGTGTAATAAATGTACTCCGCCAATTTTTTGAATAAAAATCCAGGGAGTTCTACAATACCGGCATACAAAAATTGGTTCCACGTTGGCAAAAGGTCATTGAATGTGATGATAATTACTTCGACGAATAAATAGTGTCTTATTATTTCTCAATAAAAATTTATATTATTCTACTAAAAACCGCACGAACTTATTTGGTTACCTGATGTAATGTATCTATCTTCTTAGCAGCATTCCATATGAAGAAAATTGTCAAATAATTGAAAATAAATCTGCTATATTTTTCCATGGGATGCTATTGAAGGCGGTTGTTTCTCACAATTTAACGGGGTAGTAATTGTATACACTTACGTACGCAACTTTCAAGCAGCACTGTCGGTTCACGAAACTAATAAAAAAATTTAAAACTGCTATGACCATTTTTACTTTGTTCCAGGTTTTTGACTGTCGCTACGTCACAACAACGAGTGGTATGTTCGAGGCCTTGTGCAACCACATCAAATATAGCACAAACAAAGGGAATATAAGGTAACAATAAAATCCAGAACGAAATTCTCAATACCACTACACGTACTCGTGATATTATTACTATAATTATGAATATTATTATTATCTTTTCGCCACGTGGCATTGTTCTCCTCATTGGGGTATCATTCACTCATACCAGATGCATACGGCATCAAAAGGTATGAGTATTATCGCAGATTGTTACGTAAGGTCGTTACTTTTCGCTTTTCCCATGTACTTCCGAACTGTACGAGCAGTTGCCAATAAAACTCCTTTCTGCATCGTGTTATAAATATTTTCATTGAGCCCCATTTTCTTAATATTCTCCAGCAGCTTTCTTGGGATCACTCCGGTTGATGACAGAATGATTGGGATGGTATCAACACTGTCTATCTTCCATTGTTGTTTGATTTGAAGTTCGAGCTCCCTATACTTGGCGATTTTTTCAGTGTGCTTTGTGGCGATGTCGATGAGGGTTGTTTTACTCAGTTTCTTATTGACAACAATTATATCTGGTCTGTTATGTCTCGTGTGCTGGTCGGTGAGGACAGTGCGGTCCCAATATAGCTCACTTTCTTTGTTTTCTAAAATGCTTTGTGGTGTGTATTTATACTAGGCTGTCATTAGATCTATCAGCTTGAATTTGTAAGCTAGTTCTTGATGTAGGATTTTTGCCGCTATGTCATGTCTTTCCTTATAGTTCGTCGCGGCGAACGCCTGACACCCTCCAGTCACGTGCTGAATAGTATCAGAGTCTGGGCATCCGAATCTGCACCTCTCGTTGTGTTATTATTATTGTTATTATTATTTTGGAAAACTTTATTCAGCCTGAATTCACGTCCCGAACATATTCGAAGATCAATCACCTGTTTCGCTTTAGTTTATGACTTATTCTACCATAACTCCGGAAGCACCGTAAAACTATCCGGACAAAATCCTCCGGTATGTTTTAACATCTGTTATCCCTATACGTTCACCCCTAAGGAGATCCAACAGCCACTGTCAGCCAGCGTTCCGCCGCATAATTCCCGCTCCTGGCATCCTCCTGGTATCCCAAAGGAAATTCCGACGATTACCTCTCTGTTAGCGATCTTTGCAAGCCGGATACGGCTCGAGAAACAGCCTGAGAATGGCTCAAAGTGTTCTTGAATATTTCACCGCCCTGTAATAACATTCTTAATGAATGTAAATGTTAGTTTCATTAAGATAAGTGTCTAAAGGGGTTAGAACATTTTTATCTCATCCACTACACCAGTTACCACGATACTTCAATACGACTTGACGACTATTTGAGTGGCTGCTTCTGTTAAGGTCGCTTTATAAAATCGTTTCGCATCACTGCTGTACCGTTTACCGTAATTCCAAGGGCGGACCCAGCATTTGTCTCAGGGGGGGTCACAGGATTTATTCGTCTCCGAGGGAGGGGGAGGTTTGAAGTAATACATGCTTACTATTGTTTTATAAATTATCGAACCGTTCCCAAATGCTCCTTCCCCCGTTTTGAAAGTTTGGTCATTCCCATAACAGATCCGTCAAGAGTGACCTGAAAAAACACGGAAAATGGTTGTTGTTATCGAAATCAAACAAAAATAATTTTTTTGAAAAAATCGCAGGTAGCATTACATTCATGTAGATGGAACAGTCAACACTATCGAGACATGTTCCAATTTCCAAAAATATTATTTTCATGTCATTGTTATACAAAGGTGTAAAGAATTAGCAATATACTGCGTTTATGGATAGTCTGTATCTGGTGAACTGAGGGCCAATTTCACCAATATTACTATTTAACGGTCCCTTGGACCAATAGGAGAAGACCTTATCGAAATGCAATTTGACAGATGCTGTCAAAGCTCTTTGAATATCAGTGATTTCTATTGAAATGTATTCTATAGATGTAATATTATGTCTTTGTGCTTTAGAATTAGGATAATTTTCATAGAACTTAAAATTTTTATCATTTCAAAAAAGACGGTCAGTTATTTAAGTGGGACCAATGGGAATGCGGCAAATAATAGGTCGATTTTCTAGCTATTATATTTGGTAGGATGTTTTCAGTTTTGACGACTGTTCATGCATGGCAATCTAGTTTTGTCTGTATATCACGCACAGGGTGTTGTACATAATACGTACCTGTAGAAATGTACCGATTTTTGTTATTTTGCAAAAAAAGGATATAAAACATATTCCAGCTGGTTCATCATCTCTTGTTACATCAAAAATAGAACTCCACACCAAATGTAAACAAACAGCACATTCTGGATTTCTGAGTCCTAAAACATCGATATTTGTGAAAGTATCCGCTTACACCTATTATTCATCGTCTAGATATTATGTCAGAACCAAAATACCGATTTATGAAAATATATCTCCAAACATTGTTATATGTTCTTATTATTCCTATTATTATAACACGTTTGGGATATCAATTTCTTTTAAAGTGATTTGCAGTGTTGTCGAATCGGAAAAAAACGGAATCGGTGAATAGTGTCGTTGAGTTCGGTATAAGGTAAATGCCGTCCCAAAATCAGTGGTAGATCAAGGACCTTTGAGTCGTGAAACACGTCTGTCATTGTATTGGGCGCCCACACAACATGTTATGAATTCTCCATAAAATTAACTTTTAGTTTTATTTTTGGTTCCAGCTCTTTTTCGGCAAATATAGAGTTATTTAAATTATTCTGAAAAATCGTGGAAAAGGATGTTAACGGTAAATTTTCTCCTTTCGGTAAAAATACCGAGAAATCCGGTTCAAGTCCATGCATAGACAATATTCGTCAATATTTCATTTGAAGCTTTTATTTGTCATAAGATTTTAGCAAAATGTAAGATAGTAAAGGCAACACCGCACCCTGCAGCCCAGTTGACAAGAACGACAAGCTGTCAAGATTAGCGATGTTTAGATCCACGAAAAGTATCGTTATGTATCGATTCTTATCGTTTTAGGAAGTATCGATACTCAAAAATATTGGAATAAAATTATCGATATCCAGCGGAAGGAAACAAAGAAGAAAAATAATCTGATATTTGGGTATTTCTCGCTGTAAATATAGTGTGGAAAACCTGAAAGGTGCCATAATGGTTCTAATGAGCGGCAACTAAATTATCTAATGCTTGCAAACGAGCAATATCTATGCAATTTTTGGTAGAGTCTGTCATCAAGTAGGTGTTTAATGGCTATCTGCAAAAGGTTTATAGGAAAAAAAACACGGAAGGTAATGTTAAATCAGTAAAATTGCATACCAATTGAACAAAATAATATAAACATGAATAAAAAATCAGCAATAGTAATTAAAACATGAATTTTATTCAAAAATCAAACATTTCTTTAAATGTTGACTGAATTATATGTAATTTAAAGGAGCAAAAAAACGGTACATTTCAAACAACGTCTTCTTCAGAGGCCTGTTTCTCTGGAATCAAGGGGTGTTTTGCAAATCGTGAGGATCAAATGCAATAGTTTCATAATAGTCCCAAGAGTCATCCATTGAATTCTTGCAACAAGGTTTTTTTGTATATCTATGGCCGAATGACTGAATTCTCAATTAGGACCTTAATTACAGAATAAAACTTTTTAAACAAAAACCTACTTCACCCCTTTCATCCTCGGCACCCAGGGTCGTTCCCTTAAACATTTTAAATGACAAGGGGTATCGAGTAACAGCTTGTATCAAACGCCTTTTGAAGTCCTTTATTTTGACATTTGACTCTTCAAAATCAGTCGATTCGTTTTCGAGAAAATTAGAAAAACCTGTATTTATTTTAATTTGTTTAGATAAAAAACAAAAACACACGAAAATATCACTTTCGGAAGAGTCGACGTGTCAAGAACCAAATAACAACCCGAATTTTTTGCCGCATTGTTTTCATCAACATAACCTGGGCGAACTGTATATTTATGTATATACAGGGTGTCCGCAAAGTTGGGGTTTTCCTTTTCAGAAACAACTACCCTTGAAATAACAAAGGTAATGTGTAGTGAAACGAGGGAGACCAAGTAAAAAAAATAAAGGAAAAAGTACTCACTCTCCAGTTGACGAGAAGGGCTAAGTACGTCTCTGCCCGAAATCATACCGCTCCAACAGAAAATGAAATCAGCTGATGCGCTACCGAGCAGACGCGGGCAAACGAGTAAGGCAAAATGTTGCGTAAAAAGTCTAGGTATTGCATCCCGTCCAATCGATTTGGGAGAATAAATGGTCCAATGAGCATACCGTTCACCATGCCAGCCCAAACATTCACCGAAAATGTTTGTTGAAAATGTACCCGACGGACAGCGTGCGGATTTTCTACTGACCAAACATGAGTGTTGCGAAAGTGATTCACCCCATTACGCATTCGTCTGTCACCAATATGCACTTCGAAAAGTCCGGATTATTGTCATGTTGATGCAACAACCACTCACAAAACCCCACTCTTACTGGAAAATCGTCAGGTTGAAGGGCTTGTACACGTTGGACGTGAAACGGATACAGCCCCTCTTCACGCAGCGTTTGCCACACTTTAGTTGTTGATACTTGCACTTCTCTAGCCACGTCTCTAGTGCTTGTTGAGGGATTCTCGTCTACGCGATTACCTCTACACGCGTGACCGTAACCGTCGGTTGAAGGTTGCATACTGACCTGACACACTGACTCCGACTCAGTTCTGTCGTCAGGTTGAGCTAGTGTCCTAGTACCACTCGGGGATGTCGCGTGTCGCGGCTACAGGGCGGTATTCAGATATTTTTGATGTTCAGAGCCCTTTATCTCGGTTCCCTTAAGACATTGGTGTATCTGGTACTAAGAAAAATTGCTTATGTTTTCAAGATCTACACGTCGTGTAAAGGAAAACCCCAACTTTGCGGACACCCTGTATACCTGTTTAGTTATTTGTTGCCAAGGGGAAGAAAGAACTTAATTTGCTGTGGCAAATTTGTGGCACTACCTTTAAACATGGGCATCAAAAGCTGTTGAAGTGGAGTAAAGAAATGTGACTGACATTAGATTCGTGATCTACGCATCCGGTTTATGCACGTATTT